AAGAGGCACGCTTGGTCGGCCCTGTCGAGCCAGTGCAAATGTGCGCGGAACTTGACCGCGCGGAGCATCACTTGGTAGACGAAGTCGGCGTACTTTGGTAAGATAGCGTCTGGTAGCCGGAGCTCAGCTGCGGCGGCTACGGCAGCAGGCACCTCGTAGAAGTCTTCCTCGACGCCCAGGCGGCGGGTCGGTAGCTGCAAGCGCGTCCTTGGCGGGGCACGACGTCGGCGGGCTTCGGCGGGCGTCGTCTGGGTCAACAGCTTGGTATCTTTGTGGAGTCAAACCAGCCATGGCGGCTTGGGAGTCGGGCTTGGCACAGGGCCGCACATGAAGGCGTCGACCGTCATAGCGAGCCAGCCGAGCCACTTGTCGTTCGGTATCACGTGTGGGCCGAGGTCACGGCCGCGGCACTTTGCCGTCACCGGGTTCTTTTCTTGGTTGTGGACCGTGATTGGAACAGAAACGCGCGTGCTATTAATACCAGCGTTGTTGTTGAAATGAGTTAAGATGCAATTATAGAGATTTGGTGGACTTCCTAATGCGCTCGTGAGGCGTGGCCGGTGCGACAAGCGAGGAGCGTTGTGGTCGTGATTCGGGATTGCGCGAGGGACCAGGTAGCGTGCACACCAAGGGTCGTCTCGGAGAGCGATGAGCGACGCGTCAAGAGATGGCATCACAGCGCGACGAGCCAAGTGCTGGACATGCAGTCGTGCGTAGTAGCTGCCCGGATCGCGAGCGCAGCAGCGGGGAGTTGCGTCAGCGTCGTGCGGAAGACACGGTTGTTGCGTTCGAGCCAAAGACAATACCAGACGCAAGCGCGTAAGATCGGTCAGAGGGCACGAATGGACGACTTGTGGGCCGATTACGGCGCGGCAACACTTTCGTGAATAATGCTAGCGACCGACGACGGGAGTCGTATCTGCAAAATGGCCCGCATCGGTGCAAAAGCGCGCCTGATCGCGCGGACGTATGAGCATCGCACCAAAAGATGGCCGTACGTTTCGCGGGCTGGCGCATCGCTCTGTGTCGACACTACAGAGATTCTTTCGGAGCTGCATCATAACAAACGAGTACTAGAACGTTGGTTGAGTAAAGGGCACCATTGGTTTATGCCCGCGCTGCTGCTGTATCTCGTCTGTAAATTGTTGGACACCGTCGGCAGTGATGCCGCGTCATCGCACGGTTCCCGATACACCTCGAGGCCATGCTGCAGAGATCATATCTCAGCTGCATCATACATGCAACAAACGAGTACCAGTAGTACGTTGGTTGGGTGAAGGT